TGGAGTCACACTTTTAATATGGAAACATAGTTTAATCATTAAAAGTTCTTGGAGTCTTACTTTTAACATGGTAACATATTGTAATCATTAAAAGTTCTTGGAGTCATACTTTTAATATGGTAACATTGTAATCATTAAAAGTTTTTGGAGTCACACTTTTAATATGGAAACATAGTTTAATCATTAAAAGTTCTTGGAGTCTTACTTTTAACATGGTAACATATTGTAATCATTAAAAGTTCTTGGAGTCTTACTTTTAACATGGTAACATATTGTAATCATTAAAAGTTCTTGAGTTGTACTTTTAATATGGTAACATATTGTAATCATTAGAAGTTATTGAGTTGTACTTTTAATATGGTAACATATTGTAATCATTAAAAGTTCTTGAGTTGTACTTTTAATATGGTAACATGTTGTAATCATTAGAAGTTATTGAGTTGTACTTTTAATATGGTAACATGTTGTAATCATTAGAAGTTACTAAGTTGTACTTTTAATATGGTAACATACTGTAATCATCAGAAGTTCATGGAATCGTACTTTTAATATGATAACATATTGTAATCATTAGAAGTTCATGTAGTCTGACTGTTAGTATGGCCAGTGTGATCTGGATTTGCTGCTAGAACTATATAATTAATTTATTTTCCTTTGGTGTGTGTGTGTATATATAATCTTGTAAACTTACCTTAACTAAAACTACAGAAAGAACAAATTTTGTGCAATCTATCCAAAGTTTCTGTTCCAGAACTCCCCCCTGATCCTCCACCCGTACTTCGTGTCAGACCCAGATCAGACTTTAATATATCGCTCCTCTCTATTCACCCTGTTGACATGGCTTCTAGTGCTGATGTCAGTCTGGAGAGTTACAGAAAGAACAGCGAAAAAAATGGTAAAGAGAAAGAAAATATCAAAGGAAAACGAGGAACTGGGAAAGTGAAAGGGAAACCCGTCGTAGAACCTAAAGCTGGAAGTTCAGTGAGACATCTAGACATTTCTGTAGATAGAAAAACACCACGTCAACCAATCACTGAACAGAAAAGTGTTGATCAAGTCAATCAGTCTAATGTCCAAGACAGTGAGAAGCCAATGAGTAATATAAGTTCTTCTACAAGTTCTAATGATTCTAGCTCTTTAGCCTCACATTTTAAAGAAATTTTTTCGGATGGTGAAACTCTACAAGCTTCCAAAGATTCATCTAAAGAATCAGTTTCATCTGAAGAGGTTATGTGTAATAGACATGACAGCTTAGATAATCCAGTTGAGGAAGCACAGAGATCTCTCTCACTCTTGACAAATATTCTTCAGTCAATGGATGGTGTGGATCAAACTACAGCATCAAGATCTGAATTAAGTGCCTCTAGTGATGTTTTGTCCACACCCCCTGGAATGCTTACCAAAGAGCCAAGTTACTTGCAATCTCTTGTAGTTTCTACCAAGGACACCATTGGAGAACTCGTGCCCGATAAACCTGGTGTCAATAACATGACTCTCGGACAGCTTCTGGGGCTAGCAGCCAAAACAAATCGTGAAGCGGCAAAGGAAGTATCAACCAAGCCTGAAGTTAATACAAATTCCACAGTTAACACAGTAGTAACCACACAATCAAATGATATGCAATCCATTAGTGCATCTACCAGTGACAGCACTGAACTGCCCACTCAATCAGAATCTAGTAACATGACTTTTGGGCAGCTTCTGGGCTTAGCAGCAGAACAGAAACATGAAGCAGCAAAGGATGTATTGACTAAGCCTGAAATTAATTCAAAATCTGAAACAGAGAACAAAGTAGTAACTACACAAGTGAACGATGTGCAGTCCACTAGAGCATCCTTCAGTGACAACACCGAACTGCCCACTCACACTGAATCTAGCAATATGACTTTAGGACAACTTCTGGGCTTAGCAGCTGAACAAAACTGTGAATCAACAGGGGAGCTTCTAGTAAAACAAGAAAGCCATGGAAAATTGGAGTCAGAAGAATCTGCTAATACTAATAGTGAGACAAAGAATTCCTTGGAAAAAAAAAAGGATCAGTGCAATACAGCAGGGTCAGAAAAAGTAGTGAAACAGAAGAAAGTAGAACTACAGTTAGAGAAAGCAAGTATGATGGACATTGAAGTTCTTAGAAAAGGTTGGACAGTCGAAGAAGTGAGAATGCTGACTGTTGGAGAGCTTTATTTAATGGTGAGTTATTTACATAATGATGTGCTCCTGAAAAAAAAAGCTAAGAATTTTCAGTTTTTAAAAAATTCTTAAAATTCTAAATTAATGCCTCGTTTTAAAAGTTATCAAGAAGGTAAATTAAGCTTGTAATGGTTTAGTAGATTTAAAAATTTGAATTGCTTTTTATGATTTTTTTTATTTTGAAAATGTTACAGTTGCTTAATAAATTGTGGCACATTTTGTACAGTTATTATCAAATGTATTGTTACAGGTATTGATTGTTCAATAAGTTGTGACACAATACTGTTGTTACTGAACATGATGTTAAAGGAATCAAATGTTTAATTAGTTTTGATACAGTTCTGTTGTTGAAGAACATGATGTTACAGGAATCGAATGTTTAATGAGTTGTGACACATTGTGTTGTTGAAGAACATGATGTTACAGGAATCAAATGTTTAATGAGTTGTGACACATTGTGTTGTTGAAGAACATGATGTTATAGGAATCGAATATTTAATGAGTTGTGACACATTCTATTGTTGAAGAACATGATGTTACAGGAATCAAATATTTAATGAGTTGTGACACATTCTGTTGTTGAAGAACATGATGTTATAGGGATCAAATATTTAATGAGTTGTGACACATTCTGTTGTTGAAGAACATGATGTTACAGGAATTGAATGTTGAATGAGTTGTGACACATTGTGTTGTTGAAGAACATGATGTTACAGGAATTGAATGTTTAATGAGTTCTGACACAATTCCATTGATGAAGAACATGATGTTACAGGAATGGAATGTTTAATGAGTTGTGACACAATTCCGTTGTTGAAGAACATGATGTTACAGGAATCGAATGTTTAATGAGTTGTGACACATTGTGTTGTTGAAGAACATCATTTTACAGGAATCAAATATTTAATGAGTTGTGACACAATTCTGTTGTTAAAGAAAATGATGTTACAGGTATCAGATGTTGCTTGAGAGAAGCTTTATAAGAGGTATACTTGAAAGGTGTTATGAAAGTTTTGGATGATGTTTTGAGATACTAGCAAATGTACAGTTGCTATTTTACAAAATCTGGTTAAGTGAGTTTTAAAGTTGTAATTATGGGATATTTGCTCAACATTATACTGGAACATGAAACCATTGTTAATTATCTTTTCCATGTCGTGTGGGAATTTATTATATACATTTTTTTACTTTGTATATCGTTAGTACAGTACAAGTTGAAGAATAGTTTAGATAAGTATATTTAAGTTTGGTAAAAGTTATATTGTATCAGTTATACCTGTGCTCTTATAGCTTTAATTTTCTTTTCTCTAGTTAAACCAGCCTTCAAAGATTGTTCTTGAGTACGACTGGGAGGAAAAGACTACAGCAGATTTAACCTTGGACCAGCTAGAAACTACAAAGAATGAAGAACCCCATCTCCATCAACTGTCCAAGGTTCTGAATAAACTGGTTCAGCTGGCTTCGATCACATTTGGAAACGTGAAGAATAAACAGGTAGTTTAAGCTTTAGACTTCATTGTTGGTATTTTTCAGTTTTGGGATTACCTAAACTTCTTTTTTTTAATAACCTCCCTGGATGTAACCTTCAACTTTGATAATCATGTATTATGAGGCTTACACTATCTATACAAGGTTGTTTTGGAAAGAATTCACAAAAATACAGGTTGAGCAGATTAAAATGATTTTTTTCTGGAGTAAGTGGTATTTCTTAAAAGCAAAGTTGCTTAAGTTCTTCTCTTGTTATTTCAACAAATTAAGCAGGTGAACATGTCATGTAGGTGAAAATAAAGACCTAGATTAAGTTGTTGAAAGTAAAGAAATAGTAAAAATGAAAAAATTGATACAATATTTCAGGTTACAGCCCTTCTTCTGGTGAAGCTTATTCTCACTCTGTAATAATTAGTGACTTTATCTACTTGACCTGTGTGCATGGCCGATTGTTGTACATTTTAACTTGTGCTTTTATCAACTACAGTGTATTCATTTTGTGATGGATCAAACTAAACTGTATATCAAATCCTGACCCTAATTAATCATTGCACAAGAATTTACTATATAATTATGTTTAGTGTATAAATATATATGTTCATGTACATCTAGTATGGAGAGTGGTCATTGTCCACTTGGAAACGTGACAGATTTTTGGCTTTAGTTCCTTTGTTTCGGTCGTACAAGTACCAGTGACAAAAGCAACATTGTCAACATACAGACCGAATTAGATTATTGCCAAGTTCGTTCTTTGATTACAGGTATTAAGTTATTATAATCAACGTAAAGTCGGTTAACTTGCCACTCGTTATCACTTATATATAACAATTAGTTCCTTTCAAGTTTCACAGTAAACATACTGTTCTGTATTTACTAGAGCCAATTCTGTTTTATCAAAGTAGGCTTTTGTTATTGTGATGATGTGCTAAGTTTTAGTTTTTAAGATTTTGATTAACATTAATTTTGCAGCAGTTACCACTCTCACCTCATCTTCAAGATAATGCTTCTTCCAAGTCATCTGGAACATCTTCGAGTACCAGTCAGACCCGTGGTTCGGGATCATCATCTGGTAAGAACTCGTCTAGAAGCCCAAGTGTGCGAAATAATGCAAGAAGTTCTGGACAGTCTCCAACTGTGAAGAATACAAACAGACAGTTGAAGAAAGAAAAGACCACCGTTATGCAAGGTGTCTCACAATCCACTGTAACAACTGTTACCTTGGGGACCATGGGACAACCAATGACACCAAATCCAGTGGCAGATGTGCCTAGTATTTCTACTACTTTGGGGGGGACTCCTGCCACTGTCCAAGACAAGCATATGTTTGTGGTGCCTGTTGGAGCTGCACCTCGAGCTGTGAAACCTGGAATGCCTACTACCACTGATTCTGTCACTGAGCAACTCCATGTAAGTAGTTCACAATTCTTCCTGTAGAGTTTTAGTAAAGTGTACTTAATGTGATATCACCCAAATTGGCAGATGAGTCATAACTTAGAATTTTACCATAAAAGTTCGATGTAGGTCAGTAAATGAACCTATCCAAATTTCTTCTAGGAAATCAGAAGCATGCATAATGCTTGTAGTTGTAATCTGTAAATTTGTAATGCCAGAAAACTTAAACATTGAGATTTTATATAGTCAGATCACCTGTAGATAAAAAGTCTATTAATCATTAATAAGATGATTCAATAACAAAAAAACTAATTTGTTGTTTTAAAGCTCCTTCATGATGGACTTGCAGTTAAAGGTAAAACAGGTTAGCCCAAACAATACCTAATATAAAAATGAACTTTTTTAAGTAACTATGAATTTAAATTTCTTTCAATAAATTAGTGTTTTATATTCATTAAACACAAATATTTTGATAGATTATGAAATATTTGGCATATTTTATGCAATTATTTTCAAGAAACTATGGTTAAACTTCCTAGAAATTGCTGCCTAATTCGAGACGTGGAGCACGACCTCGTAGGAAACCTATCGTCATACAGAGGCCTCTACTTCCAAGACGGCATACTTTAGGGGTTGGAAAACCCATGACGTTTGTCGAACTTCTTCCTTCTCATTCGCCGTTGACAGCTGTAATTCCAGTTACCACAACATCCTCATCACCAGCTGGTGTGCGTCATGTCACTTTACCCCTGACCAAGAAGGTGGTAAAAGTTGTTCCTGCTGGTAAGTAAGAACGGTTCAGTAAGTTTGTTCAAGTGGGAAAAACACCTTATTTTAACATCTGTTACTGTTGAGAAGTAAACAAGTTCAGTTAGTTTGTTCAAATGGGAAAAACACCTTATTTTAACATCTGTTACTGTTGAGAAGTAAACAAGTTCAGTAAGTTTGTTCAAATTAAAAAAATAGACCTCATTTTAACATCTGTTACTGTTGAGAAGTAAACAAGTTCAGTAAGTTAGTTCAAATTAAAAAAATAGACCTCATTTTAACATCTGTTACTGTTGAGAAGTAAACAAGTTCAGTAAGTTAGTTCAAATTAAAA